TTTTTTATATACAAGCTAGTAATAGGCTACTTAACTTTTAAACATTTCTATTATAGTGTTGCTATGATAGTTTCATTTCATCAATTAATATTATAATAAATTAATAACCTATAAATAATTGTAAATCAGTCTCTTATAATTAAAGTCATAATTTTTCTAATACAACCTTTCAAGTAGTTATAAGTGACTTTGTAGGGAACACTTTGGCTCAATTGTTGCCGCTGAATTTGTTTTAGTCTGCATACTAGTTGGAAGAAAATCTTAAAATAAGTGTGAAGAAAAGAAACGCTTCTGACCTAGTGTAGAATAACCAATATTTAAGCTAACCTTTTCTTTTAACTGTTATTAGAAAGTTCCAGTCTGGCTCTAAAAATTTTATCATGGTCGAAAATTGCTTGTTATATGAAAAATGGAGAATTTTTTTTTTGAAGTGGACGACAATAAATTTTTTCGTGTAACGTTTATATTGAATGACACTTGATCTGCAATGTCCCGCGACTAATATTAATATTAATATATTACAGTGTGCAAAATTATTTTCCGCTTTTTCAGCAGTTCATAATTACAAAGTAATTCAACCACCAACAAAAAGCGGACATTTAATTTGCACTTTGTAATAGATAATTTAGTCTATGTTCATTCGAGTTACACAATTACTGATCGCAGGAAATCCTTTTTCAACCGGAAACGAGAACTTGCTGTATTTACAAAAAGTATTTAACAAACATATTCCAAGAATTAACGATATTTTAGGACCTCACAGCACCGGAAACCCCTTTTTGGTCCGCGAAGTAGCGAGCAGGGGTAATTTCATCAACCCTCCGTTTGTCGACTGCCGTGATGGACAATTTAACACACAAACGGACTTGTACTATTCAATTTCCAGGCAATTTTTAAACGAAATAAGGATCGTTTTCAGAAATCTCTACAGACGCGCAACTTGACCCCGTATTAAGCACTTTATCGGGCCAATTTAAATCTAAAGTCACAGGCTTCTGAAAAACTGTCATTGAATTCATTGAATTACTTATAATATTTATAATCACCTTCTAAGTTGGTCCTTTTGGAAAGGACGAAGTATACCCTACAAATTTTAGTCATTGACGAGACAGACGAGTTCAACCAACTTGATAATTCAGAGAAAGGAACAATCATTCTCAAGTCATTTCTTGATTGGCTGGAAAAAAATACGAAATAAGAGGAACATTTTCATGCAGTGCTTACCACTTCTGATTCATTCTTTTTAAACTGGATTACAAAAAGTAGGTTTATTTGGTGGTCGTACTTGATAGCAACATATGTTGTTGGTGATTTAAGCAGAGAGGAAGCCGAGGAATTCTTCGAAAAGCATATGCCTCCCAACATGGTGCATTTTTTATTGAACCTTCAAGTTATAATCTATTTATATCATGGTGCTTATATAATGGTATTTGTTACCTGGAACAGAATCTAAGGTTCGTAATGAACTCAAAGGTCAATTTGATCATGTCTGCAGAGTCACTGGTACACGTATACTTATTATTTGTTAACATGTTGATGAATACAGAATTCACAAAGGAGAGTTTAGAAGTATGTATCAAGCTTTCTTGTTAGAATTGGCACTCATGTTGACTTTAATAACTTGTATGCCCATATAAACTATTCCATAGAATTTTCGGTATACAGGCAAGAATATAATCGGTTGAAATCTGGTCTTTACCAGAAAAGTCTCGTGCTACACTCTGAATAGATCTGATTCCATTAAAACCATGGAAGCCATTGTGATGAATCGAGAAATTATCCTTGAGGATGGTTTGATCAAATTAATTGGTCACAATAGAGTTTACTCGCTTGTTGAATATAACTTTCTACATAGCCGACCAACTAACAATTTCGCCAATGACATTATTGGCCCACCGGAAGAAACAATTATGAACTAGCCGTCAGTGCATGCAGCGGAGGACATTTAATGAAAACATCAATTTATTATTATACGTTATGAAGGAAAAAATAAATCAGAAATTTTTTTTGTATGACTTGCATAGTAAAAATTGAATATTATAATAATAATAAACTTGCTAATATGATTTTTATCTTATTATTATATAAATTAAAATCATTATTTATTTTTTTCCCATAGTTGAATCTTGTTGTTAATTAATCCTTTCCCTGAATTTGTCCCAAACAATTGTATCATGTCTATTATAATATTCATGATGATTATGTAATGCATCTGATGTTATTTTCACCGTTTATAATAAATAACTGCATCGCCCAATTAATAATAATAAGACCATGTAGAAATGACATAATATCTGAGAAAAGTTGGCAGAGTTAGGAAATAAACCCATGGTGTTTTTGCTCTGAGCCTTGTTTCCATGTAGGGCCACGGTCCATCACCTTGTGATAATAGATAATTTTAGTAATCGAGTCTCTACTTGGTTCCCTTTTTTGTGTGTGCGTGTGCTTCTCAATTACAAGTTGTAGAGTTCCTTAAAAAAATAAAATGAACAAATCTGATATTGTAGGATTGGCATTGGCAACATCCTGGACATTATCCAATATGTTCAAGGTGTATCGCGACTTAGTATCCTTGCACTGCATGTGTGCAATTCAATTCAGTTATATCATCTTGAATTACAAGATAATAAATTAATAAATCTTATGAAGTTGTAGAAAATGCTAGTAATAAATATAATGATTGATAAATTCACACAATAGTAATTATAATAAAATTAACAATCCCAAGTTATATGGTAATTCAGATAAATTTGGCAAGGATCCTTAGTCGACTCGTTACTATCTCATTGGCAAATATAAAGATAGCTTGTTTTTATTTTTCCTTCGCATAACGGTTCATTATTGCCTTTATTCTACTTATTTAACCTAGATTTTTATTAGATCGTTATGTATCAATGATAGATTCTTCGGGGTCTACCAGATTCACTGCATTCTTTCTCGTTGGGATCTCTTTTTTTATTAGTTTAATAGCCAATTGGTCTGTAACATAAAAGCATTAAGAGCAGATTCCCAATTGTCATCTCAACTTTAGTGGTTGGTTTTTCAGGTACGTTGTATATAGCCAATAGCTTGCCTAAGCTGTTTTTAGAAAAAAGGAATACTCTTTATATAGCCATTTGATTTACTTTAAAAAAATCAAGATTTTAGAACTAGTGTACAGTACATCAATTTTAAAAATCGAGCCAATTAAATTTTTTAAAGTTGTTGTCAAAAAAAATTACAAGGCAAAATGGGGCTTTTATCAATTTTACGTAAAATTCGCCAGAAGGAAAAGGAGATGAGATTGTTGGTGCTGTAAGTAGAACTTGTATAACAATACAAAAAACAACAATGCTAATATTTCAGAAAGTTCAATTAATTAAAATTATTGAATTATTTGAACATTGGCAAAAACAGAGGACTTGACAATGCTGGAAAAACAACAATCCTGAAACGTTTAAATGGCGAAGACATTAAAACTATTTCACCAACACTTGGATTTAATATCAAGACATTGGAGCATAATGAGTATTTATTTACGAATTTTTATTTTTATTTTTATTTTTAAAAAATGATTCTATTCTAATGTTTGTTATATTGTTTGAATGATGGCGATTATGATAGATTTAAATTACATATATTTGATGTGGGCGGGCAAAAATCAATTAGATCTTATTGGCGTAATTATTTTGAACAAACTGATGGAGTGATTTGGGTAGTTGACAGTGTTGATAGAATGCGTTTGGGTGATTGTAAAAATGAATTAAAAGCGTTACTACAAGAAGAGGTGAACTAATTAACCAATTAATTCTATAAATCAATGAATTAATTAATCAATTAACTAATTATGTTCCATTATTTTTTGGAAATAGAGATTAGCTGGTGCATCATTGTTAATTTTTGCCAATAAACAAGATCTTCCTGGTGCACTTAATGATAAACAAATTAGAAATGTGAATGAATATTAATTTATTGTTGTTGTTGTTTCTGCTGGTGTCAGATCAGAACATATTAATTTATTAAATTACTACTATGAATGTAATTATTTTCTAGGGCCTTGAATTAGATTCAATTTTAACTCATCATTGGGCTATTCAAGCTTGTAGTGCTGTCACTGGTGAAAATCTTCTTTCTGGAATGGATTGGATTGTTGGAGATATATCATCACGTATTTATCTTCTTGACTAATAATCATGATGGTGATAATAATGATGATGATTATGAAAGGTGAGGAAGATGTTGTCAATTTTATTCTATTCTATAATGCAATTCTATTTTATTCAATTAATATCTGGAAATGTTCTATTTTTGTTTCTTCAGGTGTCACTGGATATTTGTACATTTACTGGCTCCCTCTCTGTCATTTATATAGGTTTAACCTATATTTCAAAAAATTAAATTAATTATTTTGAACTTCCCACCAGCTTTAAACTAATTTCCCGTTACATGCCATCATCATGCACCACTATTTATGCTGACATGTCAAAATGTTTCACTATAGGATTTTTTTTTATGTGTCTGAGATTAATAAATAATAGATAAATCTATAATTAACATATAATTGATTGATTAAGATGATTCAAGTGTGATATACATAGAATACAAGATGAGGGAGGTGATGAAAACAAAGTGATTAAAAAAAAGGAGGATGCAGACAAAAAGTAGTAGTTAGAAAATTGTCCAAATAAATATCTGCTTTGACTAGAGACATTCATTAATATTAATATCAACTAAATTGAGAAAAAAAAGCCTACCCAAATTTAAAACGATCAGCCAATCAGTCTAAATACAGTTTTCGGCCAATAATATTTTGGGCAAATTTACTATATTTTTTTTTCTGATGAAAATGCCTAAAATTCCTAGAATAATTCCTTGGACTTCACCCGAAGAATTTACACAAGTTCATGAATGGTTATATTCAGAAAATTTAAATTTAAAAAAATTAGGTGTCAAAAGGGTAAAAAATCAAAGAAAATCATAATTATTTATACATATAAAGATAATAATTATATACATACATAGGTTAAAGCATGGATAAATCGAGGAAAAGTTCCACATTCTATTATAAGTACTTCTTCATTTGTAGAAATAACATTGAGTGATGAATTTAATGAAGGAAAATTATCCCAATATGAGTTAAGATTATTATATTCTATAGTACTAATAAGGTGAACAAATGATAAAAATCATATAGTTAATTTAATTATTTATTTAGGATAATAATGAGTTTATATAATTAATATTTTTTAAAAAAAAGATTTGTTAATGGTTTGGTTGATCCAATTCAACAGAATTATTATGCCATTTCAATTTCTACATTAGCAGGGCAACTTAATCTACCATTATGGTTTGTTGAATTAAGGCATGCTAGTACACATCAAGATCTTCCAAGTTTAAATGTGCTAAGGAATGCTTCCAAACAAGTAATTTATAAAAATATTATAAAATATTTATATTAACTATTAATTAATAATTATAATTATTATTATGAATTTAAATTCGTATTTAGGCATTAAAATGGCTCTCTGATAATTATTGGACAAGTCAAAAACCATTAAAATCAACTCATATTGATGAGATTACAAAATTAATAATTCAATACAAGGATGAAAGAAAAAATTATCTAAAACGTAAAATATTAAAATTAAAATAAACTTATACCTGTATTGTTGATTAAATAATATTTTATTTGTAATTTTAGATAATCAAAATCCAAATAACCAAAACCTATCCAAAACCTTTGATAATATTTTTAAATTAATAAATAGTGAATATATTGGAAATATAATTATTCCCGTTATATTGGATGTTGGATTTCTTCTACCTAAAGGAAAACTGTAAATATTTACATATATACATGCATAAATAAATAAATAATAATTATTATTATTGATTTGTTTAATTAATAATTAATCTAATTTATTTTATTAGAAAAAGAGTTTCATCAACAATCCCTAATCTATCTGAGGAATTGATCAATTTATGGTTACCAATGTTAAAGAAATTTGATGAAACATGGTCAAATTTCATTGATGAGCTTGTCGAGGAAATGTTGGAAATATTAGTTAATAATGAGGATTATTATAAGGATAAAATTCTTCCTAAATTATCAAGCTCAAGATTACCATCACATAAATCAATTTCATCTTATTTTTTAACTATAGGTAAACAATAACAACAACAATAGTGGTAGTAATAATAATAATACTATTATTATAGATTTAATTTTTATTTAAATTTATTTAGTTGAATGGATAAATTATTTTATCAAGCATTATCACAATAAAAATAGTGAACATTTCAAAGATTTGGATTTGGATTATATTTTGGAATTTTGTTTAAGAAAACCGAATAAATAGTAAGTAGCTTGCTTGCTTACAGTTGACACTCTATATAATGAACTTTTGAGCTACCTGTATTTTATTTTTTTTGTGCCTTTGTTCTCTATATAGAGAGATTAATAATAGAAAAAGAAAAAAGGAGAAGCTTGTTATAGTGTGATTTTACTTAGTGTTTGTTATAGAAAGGGTTGTTATGGAGATAGTGGAATTATTCCATTACCATTATTACTAATCAATTAATTGTGTTATAGCTAATTATTATTATTATTATTATTATTATTATTATTAAATAGTACAAGACTTGTTTTACTTTCATTAGTCGAATATGATGAGAAACTAAAATCAAATAGTCGACCATTTCTATCCTATATTGACAAATTAGTTGAAGATGCTCATAATAATGACAATGACAATGATGGTGTAAATTATCTTTCTAATCAACACTTATAAATAATATAATAAATAATATACATATATAGCATTAAAAATTTTTCCTTATTACAATAATTAATTAGAATAATAATAATCTCGAAAATCACAATATTGGTACAAAATTAACAGACGAAGAAATGAAAAATGAGATTTCAAAATTGGAAAATAATTTAATTTTAATTTTAAAAAGTAAACAGGTAAAAAATACAATTATCATTAAACACGAAAAAAAATTTTTTTTGATTCAAAAATTAATACATATAAATATAAATATATATATATATATATAAATTTAGAAAATTTCATCATCTTCAACTCAAGGATTATATTCATCAGATTCTCATCAAAAAATATCCAATTATTCATCATCATCGCCATCAACATCATCTATGGTTTTATTTAATCCTGAAGAATGGAATCCATGTCCTATTGGATGTTTAGTAAATGGTCAAGTTCCTTGTTTAGATTTACCATTAGAATTGGATGACAATAATGACGATGATTCTAATTTTTTTTGAATTTTATTACACGTATATGAAAAGAAATCATTTCTTGGTGATGGCAAAAATTATATTTACACAAATCTATATGGGGAATGCTGCAGCAAAATGAACATTATCTCACAAAGACATTTCAGGGATCAAATTCAACAAATTAGTCAATATAATGTGATTATAACATTAATAACATTGTGTTCTATTTTTGAAATAAAAAAATTCCGCGAGCATTGCACATTCAAAGACTACTAAAACACAATGTTTGGTTTGAATAAATGTATTTTTTCAACGTATTACTTTGGTCCCTTAAGAAAAGATATTAAAAAAAAAGGATAATAACACTAAAACCATTCAAAGTGTAACGTATTTCCCTGGATTAATATATTAAGCATGAGTTGTTTATTTATATAAATAAAACTTTCCAGATATTTACAACATAAATTTATATTTAAAATTTACAAAAATCGAAATATATTTTTTTTAAAAAAAAATACTTCGAAGCAATTAAATTATTATTATTATATTAAATTATTATTATTAATTATTATATTTCTTATTCTGCTTATAAACGAATCTATCCAATTTTTTAAAAATTAACTTTTTACATAAAATCTTTACTATAATAATTATATATTATTCTGGTCGTCTTCAGGTTAACTTAAAATAGGCAGAAACTAAATAAAATAGGATGTTAATTATCAATATTTATTGTTATTACATAAAATATTAAATTTTAGAATATTACTTACATTTCCAACAATTGCCAAAGGAATATCAAAAATATCTCTCTTAATTGTAAAACAAAATGTACATTGTACTTGTATACCATTTGCCCCAACTAATATACAAGTCATCATGTCTGACTGCCTTGAATTATCAAAAGCATGTTCTGCAAACTTTTCCCAATATTCTACTGCTGATTTACTATCCATAACCTGTTTTATATATACATAAATATATTTATTTATTATTTATTTTAACGATTATTTGATAATAATAATATATATATATATATATATATATATATATATATGAATATACCTCATATATGTAAGTTTTTTTACCAAGTAATTGTTCTTTTGTCCATTTTGTCAATAGAGTAAATTCTTTTCCAACTAGCGCAATTTCGCCAGTTCTACGCCATACAACAGTTGGTGTACCTGAAAATCCAATCAACTTTTCAAATTCCTAGATTCAGAAAAAATAAATTATTAATTTATAATTAATTTTAGAACTGTATCAAAATAACTAAATGCATAAATAAATTAATATGTATATACCAGTATTGTTCTTTGAAAACATTTTTCCATGAAAATTAAATCATCTTCTGTTAAATTCATTATTAAGGCTATGAAAGATGGACGAAAAGTTGCTAAAGCTTTAACAATTCGGTCAATATGTTCTTTATCCATCCTAATTAAGAAGTAGAGAATTTTTTTTTCATTATTAATATAATGTCTATTTTTTTCAAAAAAAAAGAGATTACCTTTCTCTAATCCATTTTACTAAATAATGAAACCCTTCTGTATAAGAAAATGGCTTGTCAACATTTGCATAAACATTCTCAAGAGTTAATGAATTTGAAATTTTTTTCCCTAAATTGTCTTTTTTAAAGCCTGATGAAGAATTAATATCATTATGATGGTAACTATTACCATTGCTATTATTATTGTTGTTGTTATTATTATTATTATTATTAAAACCATTAATGATGTTTGAAGTTATATTGTGTGATGGGGATATTATTGAAGGAGTTGAATTAGTAGTTGTGGTTGAAGGTGATGAAGAAGCTATAATTGTAGCATTTGGTGATTGATTCCATGTATGATCAATCATACTAATATCAGCAAATGCTGTGTGAGGACTTAATGCTTCAGTAGTTGTTGATGCAGATAACATATTGCCCAAAACAGAATATTCTAGATTTATTGTTTCTGAACCAAAGCCATAATTAGCTGTTTGAATAGGATAACTTCCACTTCCAAATAATGTACTTGTATCTACAATATTATCTATTTATGTTTGTATTATATTTTTTTTAATAAAAAATACATAAATATAAATAAATATAAATTGCAACTCACTAGTAATAGAAGCAGCAGGATTTGTATTAAATCCATTATGCATGAAAACAGGTTGTTGACTGGGTTGTTGACTAGGTTGTGTTGTAACTAAATAGGATGAAACCAATATTTGTTGATTTTGTTGATTTAAAGGTTTTTGATTTTGTATTGGAGGAGAAAAAATTGGAGAAATTTTATGAATTTCATCATCAATATTGGGCTTTTTAAAAAAATAAAACATATATATATGGTTATTATAACTAATATATATAATTTTTAAATCAAAAATTTGATTTTCTATACTTCAAAATACATACTGAATGAGATGGAAAAGAGCGATTATCAATCAGTGGTGAAAGTGGATGATAATGTTCATTATGATTTAATGAAGGATTAGGACGTGGATGTTGTAAAGGAGTTGGTGGTTGAGTTGAGGTTGGAGTTAATGGAGGTTGAAAATTATTATTATCATTATGATGATGTTGTTGGTTTTGTTGATTTATAGAATAAAGTTCATTATTGTAATAAAATTGATGATCGAGTTCATATGCTATTGGTTAGTAAGATTGAATAACAGTTGGTAGGATAAAAAATAATGATGATAATAAATTTTTTCACAAATGATTTTTTGTTATCTTTTTTTTTAAAAAAAGAGAAAAAAAATTTATTGAAAATTATTTGATATGCACACCATTATAACTTGAATCTTGTAAATATTTTGCCTTCTTACGAATACCATCGGTACAAGTTGCAGCTAGATCTCTTTTTATACATCGTTGACATGGTCTTGCTAAATTATTAGAGGAAAGATTTATGAATGATAGAGATATAATATTATTAACAATTGTACAATAATTAAATATATTATTTAAACAGATCGATTTTCTTTTCTTTTTGAAACTTACAATCATCACAGGTTAAATGGGCTTTTTGACAATAAAAACAAGCTCTTGTAGCCTTTTTCCTTCTTACTGTGTTATTATTACTATTGTTGTTAGTATTGTTATTATTGTTGTTGTTGTTGCTGTTGTTGTTGCTGCTGCTGCTGTTGTTAATGGTTGTTGTGTTGCTGTTATTACTGTTGTTTAATACTTGCTCGGTTTGTTCTGGATTATTAGATTTTCGTATATTACTTTCAGACATTTTTTTGTTTTAAAAAAAAAAAATTATCAAAATTATAATGAAAATAAAATTTAGTAAAAATAAATAAATGATATATATGTATATTAATATATTTGAAAGCAAGTGGGGTGTGATTTTTAAAAAAACACTTGGTTATTTTGTATCACGAATTTTTTTTATTACACTAATCCTTTAAATACTAACCTCTTACATTGAACCTAAGTACAAGTTTTACGTGGATAGCCTACATGTCTCTCGGGTGTAAGCTCCAATCTCGCAAGCGACTCTTGTTTGTATTCCCGTAATATACTTTGAATATCATGGACTTCGTTTTACATCTCTATTAACATCTAAAGGTATTCGAGGGTCCAAGATTTTGTTTGATGCATCCACAACAATCCAAACGTTTTACTAGTGTATTTCTCGGTGCAAAATGTCCATCTTGCGTTAAGAATGCTCGCGAGATTTATGGAGCAAATATTGGCGAAAACTGAGTCTTGAGTTTTAGATTGCACTTTTCTAAAACCATCATCATTATTCAAAATTACTTTGGTAAAGATTTACAATAAATGAATCAGTACTAGTACCAATAAAATGATTTAGTTAACAATTAATAAAATGGGAGACGTCAACAACAGCAATAATAATAAAACAAATTCAAATATAAAAAAATTCAAAAACCAGCATCGTTACCAACCATATTAATATTATTACTCAATGCTACCGACCCGCCATTACAAATTTTTATTTCTAGTGTGATATTTTATATACATGTGACATATTGCGTGTCGTAATAAAAAAATATTGCGGCAAATAACAAACAGGTGATCGTCAACAAACAATGAGCTGCACAATTATTCTTACTTCAAAAAGAAAAATGGATAACTACTCACACCAAATATTTGGGTCAAAAGAGCATTTGTGTTACGAGGGTAAACAACAAATGACAAATTTAGGATTGTGGTTAGTCTTTAAAAGGCCAGAAGAATTGACATCATCGTCATAACTAACAAAATCTAAAGGAGGTGTGATCTATCTCTAGTGACAATATCTAATTCAAATTCCAAAGCTGAGAATCTAGCTGCAGTGTAGAAAAAGGCCTCTCTTTCTATAACAATATTTTAGATAGTAATAGACAAAATCTTCTCTAAGAGATTTTAATTGAATTAATTAATAATTTTATGTTTTATATTTTATATGTCATTTTTTAAATAATATTTGTTTTTTTAAATAAAAATGATTTTTCGTTGGCAGAATTTGAACAGAATTGCAAAAAAATATAAGTTGAATTTTGTGCAGAAATAATATTTTAAATGGCATCTCGAATATAATAATAACCACGATGATGTTTGTTTACAGTTACCTTTTTAGGAAAATTAAAAATTAAAATACTCGAAAGGATTGAAAAAATTTGAAAATTTAAAAATGTCTGATGAATTTGAAAATAATTTTGAAGATTTGCTTCATAAACCTACAATCAATACCATATCTGATACTTTGAATGATGTTGACGTCTCTAATCCTTTTCATGATGCAATCTCACCATTAATTGCACCGGAAAAAATAAATGAAGAAACTGACTTCATGAGCGAATATAGTGGTTCCATAAACGATGGCTTTGTAAATAATATTACAAATCCTTTAGAAAGTATTTTGAGTTCAGACATTTCTGAAATCAAACTATCTGAAGAGAAAGATATTAATAATTATGAAGACAAATATAATTATTTTGCTGCTAATGCTGACGAAAGAGAATTCGAAGACGTGGACGTTTCATCAACTAAGGATCTTGATGTTATATCTTCAGTTTCTAATGAGAGTCAAACCAATGAAAGGACTAACAATTATGAAGAATTGTATAATGATAATATTATTATCAACAATAGTAGCAATAGTAGTAATGGTAGTATTCAAGAACAAAATGACAATAACGAAATTAATTCTAACCATGTAATGAATTACATAATTTTTAATTTTGTTAATTTTGTTGATATTATTGTTTTTTACTTTAACATAATATTTTACTTATTTTTTTATAGTCTAATCAACTTGATGGCTCAGAAAATGGGTTGAATCCTCCTATATTTGAGATTTCAGTGGAAGATCCTCAAAAGATTGGTGATCCAATTAATGCTCACACTGTATATAAAGTTAGAACTAAGGCATGTTTGATTCCAAAATTAAATATATCTCAATTTTATAAATAATAATTAATGTTTTACTTTATTTTTAGACAACATCAAAAGATTTTAAAAACAACGATTTTACAGTATTGAGGAGATACCGTGATTTTTTATGGTTATATGGTCAGCTTACGCTTAGAAATCCAGGCGTAATTGTTCCACCGCTTCCAGAAAAGCATGTTATAGGTAAAATACCGAATAAGTTGTTAGTTAAATTAATAATTTTATAAATTAATTTATATATTTTTGGACTAGGACGTTTTCAGGATGAATTTATAGAAAATCGCCGTCAGGCACTTGAAAAATGTTTGAAAAAAATTATTTCACATCCAAAATTATACAAAGATCGAGATTTGAAGATATTCTTAGAGTCTGATAATTTTAACATCGATGTACATTATTTAAGAAATCATTATAGGGATTTTTTTAATCACAATGAAATTAACTTGTATAAATATACGTATGTGATTTTATTTAGGTAAGAAGCAGAGTACAATCTAAGAGTGTTTTACAATCATTAGGCGAAGCTGTTTCTAATGCTACTACTTTCAATAAATTTACTGAGATGGACGATGTGAGTGAACTGACTTCATAATATTTTATCATATTAAATTTACACTTACTTGTGTGAAGAAAAACAGACCAATTACATATAAAAATTTTTAATATAGTGGTTTGAAGGTCGTAAAAACCAATTAGATATACTTGAATCACAATTGAAAACATTGCTTAAATCTGTCGAATTAGTTGTTAGACAACAGAAAGGTGTTTTATTTATCAATAATTATTTACTATTATTGTTATTGTTATTATTATTATTATTATTATTTTATTTTTATTTTTATTAAACAAATATTAATTAACTGATGTTGATACATGTTTTTGATAGATCTCGGAGGTTCAACGATTGAATTTGGTGATAGTTTGACTGCATTATCTGATATTGAGGTTAATAAACCATTAGCAGATAATTTATCAACATTAGGAAAATTGCAACAAAAAATTAGAGAATTACACATAAAACAGGTAAATTAATTTTTATTTAAATTATACACATAATATAAATATATTTATAAAATCCTTTGCCGTTTATTTGTAACCATTATTTTTAGGCACGTCAAGATGTTGTAACATTGGAAAATACTATTGAAGAATATATTCGTATTATTGGATCAATTAAAGTTAATAATAATATTAATAGGATTGATAAAATTTATTTTTGTTAATTAATATATATATAGATAATAAATTTTTATATTGTAAAAAAAAACTTTTCTTGAAACTAGGTGGCTTTAAATTCGAGAACTAAAGTTTATCAAAATTGGCAAAATACTACAAATGATTTACAAAAGAAAAAATCAAACTATGAAAGATTAAAATCACGAAATGGATTAAGCCAAGAAAGACTTTCATACATGTTGGCCGTGATTGCAGAGGGTGAAAATAAAGTTGAAGATTGTAGACATGAATTTGAAGATGTTACAAAATTGATTAAAGCAGAATTGGACAGGTTTGATAAAGAAAGGGTTGAAGATTTTAAAAACAGCATTGAATCATTCTTAGATTCTATCATAAAAACCAAAAATGAGGTAAATTAAATTATTGAACTTTAATGGAATGTTTGCAAATAATTTTTCACAATTTTATTATTTACTTTTATTTGTTATTGATAGATAATCAAATTATGGGAATCATTTTATCAAGAAATTGATTCATATCAAAATTTTTATAGTAATAATAATAGTAGTGGTGGTGATGATAATAGTAGTAGTAACAATAACAATAATGATAATAACAATAATAATTATATAATTAATGCTTAGTAATTTTTTCCTTCCTTGTATTTATTATCGTGTTGTTTAAATAATAATTAATTAATTAATCTATTCATCCTTGAGAAATATTATATCAATATATTAATTAATTGAAGAAATAAATATTTATTTGACAAATTTCTTTAATGTATATTTTTTTGCTACATAGAAAATAAATAAATACATGTTGATTATCCTAAAACCTATAATTAAATAAATGTTTAAATGTTTATAACAACAACAAGTCTATTACAAACCCTTATTTATTTATTTATTATAAATCTCCAGTAATGCTTTGGCCTTATCTAAATTAATTTTCTATAGCAGTCTTGACATTATTATACTTTAAAGAGCCAATCGACAATTTAAAATGTTTTTGAGCAGTTGAAACTGTATTCGGATCTATTTCACAATAATTATTTGATTTTAAATTTGGGGTTGGTGTTGAAGTTGTAATTGGGGCACCTTTTTATTGTGAGAGTTATAGTAATTGTGATCGTTGCAGCTGTGCTAGGGATGGTGTTGTTGATACTGGTATTATTGATTGAACATAATTAAAAGGTTGAATTGCTTGAATGATTGTGATGTTTGTCGTGGAACATGAGAAAAATTGGAGGCAGGTTGTTGGTGGAACAAGCCATTAGTTTGATCATTCACATTAAATTGTGTAATGATGATAACGTTTGATTTTGTTGTTATTGATATTGTGGATTTTGTTCATAAAATGCAGATGCATTAGGATCAGGTTGATCAGAAAAATCGGATAATAAAATTGGTTGTTGACTAGTAAACTTATCAAATGGAATATTAGATGGAAACGCTTTTATTATTATTATCATCATCATCATCACCATCACATTACTATTAAAATTACTATTAATATTACCAATGTCTTATTTACTTTGGGCGGTAAAGGAGGGCCAGTTGTTGAAAATTTTGATAATGGTGCTGAAGGAAATATATTAATACTAGAAGCAAATTCATCACCTTTATTGTCAATGATAACATCATCGTTATTATTATAAGATACTTGTTTTCTGCATTAATAATATTATTATCATCATCCATATTAACATTAAATCATCATCATAAGTTGATTCTTGTAATGTTAGACCAGCAATTGGTTTTTGACCATTTATTAATGACTTAATAATATGTGCAGCCTTCCATACTTAATTTTATTTCCAATCTTTAAATATATATATATATATATATATATATATAATATGTGATTAACATTTTTAATTATGAATGGATTTGTATAAATATACACACACACACCTCAGGATTTATCTCACCAAATATTTTTAGCAACTCCAAGAATGTAGATGGCGCCCAAAAAGTCATGGTTGTTTGCCTATAGGTTAAATGTGTATAAATAAAAATTAGCGAGTTTATAAAAAACTCATCATAGCCGTATAATTATAACATACTTACATTGTAACCCTATCAGTTTTATCAGAATTTAGGAAAATTTTAAGGTAAAGTTTTCTACGAATGCTTTACTGCTTCATTATCTGCAAGTTGTTTCTTTTCCTATAAATAAATAGGCAGATGGATGATGGATGGATAGGTAATAAAAGCATATGATGATGACCAAACCCAATAAATATTTATATGTAGCAATAAAAAATCGAGAAATTTTCTGCAATTAATATTTTCTCAAGAGCATCCATTAATTTTGCAAGAAAACTTGATTTTATTTGTGTTCCTTTTTCAATTGCTAAATATACAAACTTTTATAAGTATTTGATTTTTGTTTGTTTGGCAATATTGATTAATGAATTTGAATTGGAGTTTGTTCATTTTAAATAAATGCCTTCATTAAAAAAAGTGACACATGAATTTCCAAAAATGGGATAGAAATAAATAGAAATTCAATTTTTTCATATCAAACTTAAACTTTAGGACGAAAAAAAAAATGGTAGAAGAAAGGAATGGATCAACTGATATAAAAATAAAATTTATAAACAATGATGGTAAAAGAGAAAGTTTAATACTGTTGAATTCACTCAAAAATTTAATCAAAACTCAACTTCCAAACATGCCGGCCGAGTATATTACACGTCTTGTTCTTGATAAAAACCATTCTTCATTAATAATAGTTAAGAGAGGCTCACATGTTGTTGGTGGAATCACGTATCGACTTTTCAGTGATAACAATTTAGCTGAAATTGTTTTTTGTGCAGTGAGTTCAACCGAACAAGCAAAAGGTCATGGTTCATTTATGATGAATAATTTAAAAGATCATTTAAAAGACAATTGTGGTATTAGATACTTGATGACTTATGCTGATAATCACGCAATGGGTTTTTTTAAAAAAAATGGTTTTACCACCGATATTACTATCAAAAAAAAACTTTGGGTTGGTTACATAAAAGACTATGATGAGGCAACAATGATGCAACTGGAGTTATTGTTAAAAGTTCAATATCATCAAATTGATGAAATTTTGTCTAAGCAAAAATCAACAATTCAAAAATTAATATTTGAGCATCGTAAAAATGTACCAGAATATCCTGGTCTCGCAATTTTCAAAAATAACAATAAAAGCTCGATAGATCCCATGGAAATACCAGGTATTAGAGAATCCGGTTGGACACCAGAAATGGAAGCTAAGGCTCGTGGTAATAAGAAAACGATCCGTGATATCATGGCAATTATAACATCCGAACTTAAAAAGCATGCAAAATCATGGCCTTTTCGTGACCCAGTTAAACCTGAAGAAGTCCATGATTATTATACAATCATTAAAAATCCAATGGATCTATCAACAATTGAATCTAAAGTCGAGAGTAAAATTTATAAATCTATTGAAGAATATATTAATGACGTTAGAACTATTTTTAAGAATTGTCGAATTTATAATTCTGAAGGAACCATTTATGTTAAATTTGCGAATAGTTTAGAAAAATTCTTTAATAACAGATTAGAATATTACGATGTGCATGTTGATAATAAATGAATTACAATTTGGATCAACATCCATTCATCTCTATTAATTCTCTTTCCTTCGTCTAATCTACTACACGTATAAAAATCTGTAATAATAATAACAATTTAATTTTTTGATTTATTGATTTTTAAAAAATAGAGAATTATTTAATTATTGAAAAAAAAAAAAAATAATAAAATTACACATTTTTTGATTAAATTATTATTATTGTTATCAAGTTAAAATATAAATACAAAATTATAATTAATAAACAAATCTAATGATAAATAAATATAAATAAATACTATTCTCCCGTTAAAAATTAATTACAATATGCTATCTCTATATATACTTTTTTATTACTTTTTAGTAAATAAATTAAATAAATAAATTAAATAAACTAAATAAATTAATAAATTCAACAAAATCAGCTTGCTCAAAATTTTTTTAGAAACACATAAATTTATGTTTCTTGGCCAGTAATCTTTCTAATTGACGTTCCAATGCTATTCTAGCAGCCTCTGAACGTTCTTTTGCTTGTCTTTCTTCTTCCAAATTCTTTTCCATAAATAATTTTTCAGTTTTAACATTCATTTTAGTTTTATCTACTTCTTCAATTGCCTGAGTTAATTGAGCATTTAGAACTTTGATTTGGTTCATAAGTTCATTCTTTTGAGTTTGTACTGCAGACAATTCTTGTTTTGTTGTTTCAAGACTTGTCTCATTATCGTTCAATGAATTCTCCAAGGTTTCAACTAGTTGTTTGTTTTGTAGACTTTCTGCTTCGATTTTTATTATCTTTTTATGTAATTTTTGTATTTCTAACAGGGATTCTGCTGTTCCTGGACTAAACTCGTAAGAATTTTGATGCCTCGATTGGAAATATGAATCTATTTTTTGTAGTGAAGGTCTACGTAAATTTAGTTTCGGTGAATATGTTGGATTTTGAGAAGTAGATGATGATGGAATCGGTGGCAATGGTTGACTTGGTGGTGGTGTTGGTGGTGGGACGTGTTCTGGTAAGCCATGCTGTTGTAAAATTTTCTTCATATCTAATGGCGTAGGTACATTTGTTCCTGATGTGATCTCATATAATTTCCTTTCCAAATCAGAAATAGTTTTTTGTAAAGATTTAATCATGACTGATTGTTGTGATATCGTGGATTCTTGTTGACCAGACAAGTTATCATTTGAATTTAATTTTTTAGAATTTATTAAGCTCCATTCTTTTAATTGTTGTTTAAAATTTTCATTATCGTTAAGAAGTCTAGCAACTTCATTTTCCATTTGGATGAACTCCTTCGATGTTTTAAGTTTTAAACTTAAAAGATCGTTTTCTTTAATGGTTATTTGATCATTTAATTCAGACAAATGTGTGCCTATATGTGAATTTTCATTATGATTTACTGACCATGATTGTTCCATTAAAGTTTGAATCTTCTGATCGAGTGTTACACATTCTTGGAAGAATTTTTTGTTTATTTCCTCTAATTCTTCTTTTACCAATTCTAATTCTTTGATTTTTTCTTTCATTTCATTGAATGTTGGTTTATCACTCATATTGATAAAGCTGGTTAATTCATTTTGTAAAGTTTTATTTTTCTCAATTAATTTACTGGCATGTGCATTTAAATCCATGACCTTTGAATTAAGATTATTATTTATAGTCCTTAAACTTTCATACGTAGCAGTAAGCTTAACAAATTCTGGATTAGATAATCCTCTAATTTGTGGTTCAATAGCCCTTTTATTATTTTTATTGTTGTTGTTGCTGCTGCTGTTGCTGCTGCTGTTGTTACGGATTGATATAGCTTGGTTCAATTTTTCAGCTTTTTTCAGTTTTATTTCCAATTCTTCTATTCTAAGCTGTTGTCTTCTTGCTAATTCATCAAAACTTTCGAATTTGGAAGATGAAATAGAAAATTTTTTAGATAATAAATCTAAATCTTGTTGAAGTTTATTTACTTCATCTATTAATTCAGAATTTTCTTCGATCTTTACATATTTTTCTAATTTAAGTTCTTGAATAATTTTTTGTAACTCGGATATTTGTTTTAAATATGTTTTAATTTGTCCGTTTGCTCGTTTAAGTTGATGATTTAAATCCCCAGTAATTTCTTGACTTCCAACATTTTTATTTACAGAGTTATTTTGAGGTTCTTCGATTTGTTTTTGTAATTCCTTGCAATAATTCTTTAACGAATCAATTTCTTTATTAGCTACGTGCAAGTTAGTAAGTTCATCATTACGTTTCAATTCAATTTCTTGAAGTTTGAACTCTAACTTTTTGATCAAATTCAAATGTTTTGATTCCAACCCTTTAACCTTTTCAAGCTCCATTTTTGAATTATTAATTGCCATTTCTAACTCTTTAATATTATAATTCTTGCATTCCAATGTGCCTTCTAATTCTTTAATCAATTTAGATTTTGTGATTTCGGAATTTCGTGCTTCTTCCAACTCTAACCTCATTCCTGAAACAATCTCATCTATCCTATCACCCTCTTCATGATTAGCTGTCAAACTAAGTCTAACCTCTAATTGTTTTACTAGCTTGGATTGTTCTGATGCTAATTTTCTGGCGTTTTCAAGATCTGTTATCGAAGGATCATTTTGTAATAATAATTTGTTGACCTCTGTGATTTTAGCATTTAACACCTTAACATTCTTACTAGCTTCTAATTCTGATCTTTTTGCATGCCCAATTTCTAGTTGAGTTTTTTGTATTAATGCTTCCAACTCATAAATATGTATATCTTGACTTGACAATTGATTCTCTTTCTCTTTTAGGATATTATTGGCTTTGTGCAACTTGAATTCTAGATCTTTAATTAAAATAGAATTTTTCTTATCGGAATTTTTTGTTTCTTCCAACAAAGATTGTATCCTAAGCGATTTTTCTTCCAAACTTGTTATGATTTCTCTGCTAATGATTGTTGAATCTTGTGATTTTACCAATTCTTCTTCTAAATTGTGTAATTTTGTTTCAAGTTCCAAAACAATTTCTTGGTGGTTAGCCTCTTGTTCTTCGATTACTTCTTTTAGCTCGTTTGAGATTTGCATTTGAGCATCTCTATCTTTTTCAACAGTCATTAATTGTTTTTCTAATTCAGACAAAAGATCATCTTGTTCCATTCTTTCGAGTTTAACTTTAGTTAAGGCATCCGTCAAATTCATTATTCTAGCATCGTTACTAACACCACCACTACTACTGTTGCCACTAAGTTTTAATATTTCAAATTCAATTCCCAATGTATTTGCTTTCTTTCTTTCATCTTCATAGGATTTCTGAACATCAGACAACAAATTAGAAACTTCTTCCAACTCCAAAGTTTTTTCATTGGCACTTTCTTTAGTTTTTTCCAGTTCTATTTTTAAAAATTTTAAATCAGTCTCTAAAGACTCCACTATATTTGATTGTTGATTAAATTCTTGTTTTAATCTTTCTAATTCTTTGTTGACTGCATTTTTTGAAGCTTTGATTATATCAAGTTGCAATTTTAATTCTTCTATTTGAGATTTTTGTTGAATCTCAAGATTCTTCAACATATCAACTTCTTCTTTCATTGAACTATATAATTGTATTTCTTCTTGCGTTGTTGTAATCTTGAATTCCAAATCTTGAATGATTTTTTTTAGACTTGATTCAGAATTCTTTAATTCCATAACTTGTTTCTGTAATGAAAAAACATTATCTGAATTTAGATTAGGAATATTTTGTTGTTGCTGTTGCTGTTGCTGTTTCTGTTGTCTTATGTGATCCAAAAATTCTTCTATTCGTTGTTGATGTACTTCTTGATCCCATGAATTGTCATCATTGGCATTATTTTTATACAGCAAATCTTTGATTTCTTCAAATAATTTTTGGAATTGATCAAAATCATTGGATATCTTCATTTGGTTGTTTAGATAACTCTCTAAATTTTTTATTATTTCTAATTGTTTTGTTTCTCTAACTTTTAAGTCTTGTAATTCTGATGCGAGTTTCTCAAATTGAGTCAAATTTTCAACTTTATTTAATTCTATTTCTAAATTCTCTATGGTTTGAATATAATTTATTTTGGATTCTTTTGTGATTGTTAAATCATTCTTCAATTGTAGCAAGTATTCATCTAATTGTACACCTTTTTCTAAAATCTTGGATTCTAAAACATTAATACGTTCTCTTTGTATGATCTCGTTATTACGTAAGTTTCCTAGTTGTAATTCAAGTTGTATTTGATCTTGATTGGAGATCAATGAGTTGGTCTTTAATTTTCGTAATTTTTCTTGTGCTAAAGATTCTCTCTCGCTTGCTTGTTTCAGCTCGGCTTTTAAACTTTCCAGTTCTTGCTTTAACAATTGATCCACATCATCGCCATTTTCTAATTGTTGTAATTTCATTTGTAACTTTCTAATTTCATTCTTCAAGTCTTCTTCTTCTTTATGAACTTGGATCAACTTGTTTTTAAATAATAAAGCTTGAATCTCTTTTTGCTTGAGCTTTTGTTCTAACCAAGTTTTATTTAGTAAATCTTTTTTCAAAATTTCTATTAAATCATATTTTTGTTGAACATCTAATTTGACAATTTCAAGTTGTTCTCTAATCTCATCTATTGCATCATTTTCTATTTGTAAATCATCTATTAAATTTGATTTTAAATTTAAATCTTGTTGTAATTCCAATAATTTTCCCTGTAGGTTTTCAATAGATTTGTGTGATAAATTAAAGAAATAATTGGTATTATTATTATTATCATCATCATCACTTTTATTGTTTGGTTGAAGTCCTTTAGCTCTAGTTATTTGATTTTCGAGATATATGGCTTTTCCTTGTAAAGATCTTAAATACTCTTCATCTTCATCATTGGTTAAAGTGGCAGTTGTAGATGCTGAATCGCGTTTTTCTGAATATCGTCGTTGTTCTGCCTCCTCTTCAGAAATTTCTTCAAAAATAGTTGGTACTAATGAGCTATTATTATTATCGCTATTACCACTATTGTTGTTGTTGTTGTTATATTGATGATGACTATTAATTCCAGCTTTATATAATAAAGAATTTTCTTTTAAAAGATTTGATTTGTTACGAGCATATTTAGATTCAACAATAGATTTTTGAGTTGATCTAATTTCTTCAAGTTCACTTTCAAGCCTTTGTAAGTTATTATTATTAGTAATAATATTGTTATATTGCTGTTGTTGTTGGTCAATTGATGGCAATATCAAAGCAGCTATTGTATGACTTTTAGTTTCAATCTCTTGCTGAAGTTTTTCAATATAATCTTTCAATTGTTTTGTCACTTCATTCTCGCCGGAATCCTTTAATTTTGAAAGAGAACTTCGTTTCTCTTGTTGTTTTCTTCGTTCTGATTCTACAACAATTTGTAATGATCTTAAGCGTGAGTCATTGGCTTTTGGATTTTGATTGGTTTCTACTGATTTTTGTGATGGTGATGGTGATGGTGGTAATGGTGGCGATGATAAATTCTCAGGTTGTTTGACTTGCTGAATATCGTCATCTTCATCTTGTTTTGATTCAACAACAATATCATTGTTAATATTTGACAATGATGATGGTGGTGGTGGTGATGACGATGATGAATCATGAGATTTTAATAATAATTGTTCTTCTAAAAATTTTATTTTATTTTGTAATTCTTTAATTTTAGAAGAAGAAGATGACGATGACGATGACGATTGATCTTGATTTTTCTTTTTTTGATTTAATTCCAATTTTAATTGATCTATTAAAGTTTTTAATCTTTCATGATCAAATGATTTGTAGTAATCAATTTCATGACCTTCCAACAATTCGATAGTTCTTAGTTGATCTTCTTTAAGCATATCAACTTCTTCTCTGAGCCTTTGCACAATATCTTGTTGATTGGCCTCACTACTTGTGGGAGAATAACCACCATCAGTATAAGCATAATCAGACGATGCTATCACAGACATAACTTCCAATTGAGCCAATGCATCACGACGTTTAATCTCTTCACGTAATTCTTCAACAATTTCCAAAGTTTCTCTATAATTGATTTCCAATCTAGCAAATTCTTGTTTAACTTTTTCTAAGCCTTGAGCTTTATCTTGATGTAATGTTTCCAATTGTCTTAATTCAATTTGTAACTTTTGAATAACCAGAGAGCTTGTTAACTCTTGTTTTTCAGCACCTTGAATTTCTACTGATAAAGATCTGGTTTTTGGATAACCTTGAAAAATTGAATCAGATGCCATTGCAGTATTAGTGGACGATGATGGTGCACGAAGATATTTGTTGTTGTTATTATTATTGTTGTTGTTGTTGCTGATGATGCTATTGTTGCGATTATGTTTTGATAGTGAATTGTTTAATTTTGATTCATTAAGTTGTTTTTGTAAATCTTTTAATTCTTTTAAACATTGCTCATATCTAGGTTTAATTTCTTTAAGCTCGGCAATAGTTTTGTCATGAGTTATTTGTAGCTCATTTAATTTCGATTCCAAGGTTGTAACTGATGGTAAAAACTCGTTATTATAACTGTCATCATCTATATCATAAACCTCTTTACCATTTAAATTTATAATAGGCCTAATATTTGATAAATTCGATGTATTTATAAGTGGTGGTAATAATTTATTATGAGTGACTTTATTATTATTATTATTATTATTATTATTATTTGATTTTTTTAATTGCTTAAAGCTTTGTATTTCTTGAGCAAGTTCATCAACATTTCTTTCCAATAGTAAAATTCTTTGATCACGTTCGGTAATCTCATCCAATAACCATTGCTTCTCTTCTGTATCAATATTCATTTGTTTTTCAATCCTCTCTTGTAATATATTAAATTCATTATCTTTTTCTTGTAAAGATTTTTCCAAAGTTAAGGATTTATCCAATATTTCACGAGCAGAGTTTTGAGTTGATTCCAATTTTGATTCTAATTGATTGATCAAAATTTCGTTATTTTCTTCAGAATTTTCAAAGTCATCAAGTTTCACCCGAAGTTCCTCAATCACGTTCAAATCTTTAATTTGTTGAGAAGATTCTATGTTGAGCCTAATTTCAAGATTTTTTATGTATGATTCCGTGGTTTCTTCATGTTCAATTAATTTTGTCAATTTTGATTTAATCTCATTTATTAAAATTTTATTTTTTTCATTTGCTTTTTCAGTCTCGTGTAATTTTAATTCTCGAACTTGTATAGTTGATTCAGAGTTGGTTAAGGTCTCACGGGCATTGTTCAATTGTTGTTCGAGAGAACAAATAGATTTTTCATAATCTTGTATAATTGGTTTGACTGTTTTTTCAAAACTAGGCCAAAGATTTTCTATGAATTCTTTTTGATCATTAGCATTGAGCAAAGCTAGATATTTTGATAGTGATTCATTGTTGCTTATATCACCTAATAAAACTTGAGACATTTCAGTATAAATTTTATGAAGATGTTGAAACTCTACTTCTAAATTTTCAATCATGTTATCACCCTCTTCTTCTTCAATAATCGTTCTTGATGATATTGAATTTTTTATTTTAAAATTTGGATCATCATCATCGTCTTCATGATTATGATTGTCATATTTATTAGAAATCAATTTTTTTAATTTAGAACCGAAAATTGAATGATTATTGTTGTTGATGGTAGCAGGTGATGATGATGTTGTTGGTGATGATAATGATGATGAATTATTATAATTATCAAATGAAGATCTTCTTCTTATTGGTAAATTATTAGCAGCAGATACTCTTAAATTTTTAATTTCGTCTCTAAGTTTTATAACGAGGCTTTGTAAATATTCTATGTCGTACCAACCAGGCTCCTGACTTATTACAGCTTTATATTTGATATTTCTGACTTGATTAACACAATCCAATACCTTTATCGTTTCGTTGATGTAGTATTCAGAGGGAGGCACACAGGCTATTACTAAAATTTCTGAATTTTCACAAAGATGTTCTTTTAATTTGAAAGATAAATTTTTATCATAATACAAATCGTCAGAATCGTGTATGTTATTTTCTTGATTTGTAGATCCACTAATTGAGCGAATCAAGTGATTTAGCGAGATAATGTCATTGGAAGAAGGAATTATTTCGCTTTTTCTTACCTGTAATAATAAATAATGATATTAATAATTAATTTGTGAATATATTACAAAAATATATTGTATTTTTCTAAATAAGAAATCTGAAATGTCAATAGACTTACTAAATGATTTGTTGCTAAATCAACAAATTGAAATTTACTTGTGACAGAAACCCAATCGCCTTCAAAAGAATTTTTATGATTTAATGATTTTAAATCTTCCCTTGATTTTGATTTGAAAATTTTGAAAGTTTCTGAAATGTTTGACGATAATGATGAGAATGAGGAGGAAGAAGATTTAGGAATTAATTTTTGTTGAGTTAATGTGATGGAGAATACAGTATGTGATCTTGATGGATGAATAAGTATATCTTTTTGATTCATTTTACTATTCAGTCTTCCATTCGATAATAAACTAAATATTGATGATGATGATGATGATGATGAGATATTAGTAGAGATTAAATAAATTAGAGTAAAAATTAACAAAGTTATAATAAAAAACCTACCTCATTATTTCTCCAACATTATCAACTTTAATTTCTTTAATTTTATTTTTCTCGAATTTTGAACGTTCGTTATTTGCATCATGATCATCTTTATTATTGTTACCACCATTATCTGATGATATGCCTTCATTCGATTCTTCTTTAATTATTTTCTCATCATTAAGTAAATCAATTATTTCTTCATCGAAAATCTCGACAAAAGATATTTTTATGGAAAATTTACGATTTTTGTATTGAGCAGAGTTTATGAAGGAAAATAAATTTATTAAAGATCTTGGTATTAAACCATTTGAATCGTTTATATTATTGCTATTGCTTATATTATTATTAATTGTATTGGTATTTTTGTGTTTATCGACATCACTTAAACCCATTGTATAAGTTTTTCCGGATGAAGATTGACCGAATGTTAATATAGTTACATTGTAGCCTTCTAAAAAACTATCCACCTTACTCCTAACTGAATGATCGTAGACATCTTTTTGTGATGAATTATCATTGAAGACATGATCAAACGTGAAGAATTGTTTCTTTTCGCCTTGTATTATGACTTGGTTTGGTTTGAAAGGTGGTGTCGATAATACTTTTCTTTGAGATTTTGTGGGTATTGTGATTAATTCTTCTCCTGTTAAAGGCCTTATTCGCAGAGCTGAGAAATAAAATTATTAAGAAAAAAAAAAATAATAATAATAGTAACGCACATCATATAATAAATATATGCTACTTACCAACTTGTACTGTGGAATTTCCAGAAGAGGAATCGCTCATCTGGGACAGTTTAATGACTAAACGTTTGGGTGTTATTGAATGTAATAATAATAAAAATATGTGTTTGAATAATGGTATTTGATATAGCAGCAGTAACGGTGGCAGAACAATGATGATGAAGTGAGAAAAGTAGGGAAAGTTTTCCTTTAATATAGATTCCAGTTTGACTTATTTTATTATGAAAATGTTAATTTGATTTTATTTCGGGTTCCAGCCCCCGTTTCCTTTTCGTTTCTTGCTTTATTTTTTATTTTTTGAGCAAAGAAAATAAATTTTCTTTTTTAATAAAAATCTCGTTTTTGATTTTTTTATTTTTAAAAATTAAAATTAAAAGATACGGATAATATGGTAAAAATTGTTGATGAAAGTAATGATTGAATGAATAAATTGAATAGGTGATGGATGCGTCGTGAATGTTTTTTAGTGATGAATGTGGTGGAAGTAAATAATTATCAAACAAATGGGGGTAAATAATATTTATTGATGTTGTTAAAGAGTATTTTATTGGTATTATGATTATTCGTGGTCAATTTTATTTATTGTTGTTTTTATTATTATATCATATTCATGTAATATAAAGTGATCAATGTACGTGTGCGCGTGTATAATGTTTGACTTGTTTGAAATAAAGAATGTTGTAATACGAAAGAATGGATTAATTTTATTATTTCGAGAATTATTTCGAAAAATATTAATAAAGAGGTTTTTTTTTTTGCAAAAGAAAAAAATTTACTTTTTTATTGATTTTATTTGGTTCTTTTCGCGTGTAATATTTACGAGTAATTTTATGCATAAAAGATACCAATTAAAAATCATTCGTATATATTACACACGTATAATATATAAATAAATAATAAATAATTAATAAATATAATAAGCAACTTTAAAAATTTTTTTCTAAAAACAATATTGAATGTGTTACAGCTCTATTAAGGAAATGTAATAAATTAATTAAATTTGTATGTATACCGTTTCAAAATTTGACAAGATCATCAGTAATTAAATTTGCAATGACTGATAAATTTGACAATATAATTAAAATTGATTTAATTTCTTGTGATTTTATTATATATTCGAGATTACAAGATGAATACAAGAAATCATCCACCATCAATAGTAAAAATGATGGCGATATGGCATTCTTATTTAAACATAAAGAACTTGAAATATCAATTTGTTTAAATGGCACAAAAGATGAAATTGTTATACCAGCGGATCAATTATTAGGTTTTAAAATTATCAATAATCTTAATAATTTTAATAATGATCTTAATGAAAACCACAAAAATAAAAATAAAAGTAAAAATGTCATTTATAATATATTGTTAAAATTTAAACCAAATTTTAAAAGAATGGTAAAAATTTTTATATTTTTATTTTCTCGTTGATTAATACGTTAATAATGTTAATATGTTAATAATAATAACAATAACAATTATTGCAAGTATCAATATCACCTTGGAGGTTTTCCTTATCTTCTTGATCCTACAGTAACCGACGATGATCCTACAAATGGAAAATTAGATCAATCATCTTTTGTAAATCTTGTAACAACCAATCAAAATACAAACGAATTATCTTTAAAACTCATTGAATCAGCAATTGATACATCATGGTTTCAAAAATATCAACTAGAAAATGAAAGTATCATTGAAGACGATAATCAAAATGTAAGAATCTTGTCGTAATCATCGCAACCATTGTGTATTATTATATTATTTTTATTGATATATCTCTAATAATTATTAGATATATATAACTTGTGTATTTCCAACTGAACGTCGTGCAATATCTTTTCCAATCGACGCATCATTCAATCAATTATTAAAAAAACTTGAACAAAGATTTGGAACGAAAATTTTTAAATCTGTTTATTATAAAAATTGTAATAATGATATGATAATGTTGAGCGATGAAGTCCATTGGAAATTGGCTAAAAACGAACTTATCGGTGGTAATGATTTAAAGAGGTTAGAAATTCATATTTGGTAATTTATTAAAAAATATACAATAATTATGCACTTTAAAAATAAATAAAATAAATAAATTTGCTTTCTTCCAAGAATTGGAAGAAATAAAAAAAAAAATACTATATATATATACATATTAATATTAATATTAATTAATCAATTGACTAATGAACAAGTAAAACCATCGCTTCCATTTCCATTTCAGAATTATTTAACATATCATTGCCAGTATTTAAAAAATTATAAATATTATTATTATTATTGTTAAGATTATTGTTATTGTTGTTTTCATCTTCAAACACACTGACACTTCCAACACGTGCTAAACTCATTTTCCTACGATATTTCAAGCACTGTTTATACATTTTCCATATAGGCGAATTATTAAATAATCCTTGCCGCAAATGTGATAAATATCCATAAAAATCACATACTGCTACAATACGATCTCTGCAAAATCGATCAAGTAGAATCCATCCACCATTAGCATTTATTGACGATGGAACGGTTGCATCTGATCCTGATAATCTCATAGCAAATTCACAAGTTCTTAACTTTCCACAAAGTCCACATTTTACTATTATTGGTGCTGCCGTTGCTGCTAAAGAGTTATCACTGCTGGTTTGACTAGAGATTGATTTACTCGATGATATTTTTTGAATTTCACATTGATTTTTTATTATGGCATCTATCAACCTTTTTTTGTAGAATGGTGATTTCCACCCAGTACTTTTTTCAAAAAGACAAGGTTGAATGTCTTCTGTCATACATCGTTTCATAAATGCACTCGTAGCATTAGGTGCATTATTATTAAACGTTGGTGATGTCTTCAATGATTTAATAAATTCTTGAAATTCTTCGAATGCTATTCCATCGATGTAAATATTTTTGCCTTTTGTTGCTCCAAATTCATCATTTTTGTTAATTTCATTGGTCATGAAACTATCGGCTGATGATAATTCTGAAATTTTATCTGGATAAATCATTGAACCTTTGTTACTGTTATCATGGTTATTATTATCATCATCATTATTGTTATTGTTATCATTTATTATTATTTTACCAACTCGTTTTTGTTTAGTAGAATCAATATGAATCAATAATGATTTTAATTCTCGTAGCTGTTCTTGCCTAATATCAGATGTTTTAATCAACGATTCAAATTTCCCATCATATTCTCTATTCAACAAACCAAGCTCTTCTCGTATCCTAGCTTCGTCAGATACCATATGATTGACTTTTTCAAACATTACATTTACCCATCGATCAATTTCTTGTTCTAAATTTTTCCTACTTGCTTGAATTTGTTTACGAATAGTTTGTTCTTTTGAAAGCGAAGTTGCAAGTTTAGAAAGATCTCGTTTAAGATATGCACGATCATCAATAAATTGATCTATTTGTACAAGTAATATATTACAATTTGTACATGAATTTACTGTGGTAGCAGTAGCATTATCAGTATCAGTAGCAATATTAGTATTGGTTATACTTGCAATTGATCCTAATGATTTATGGTGACGATGCCTATTATTATTATGATTACTATTATTAAGACTTTTATCACTTATTACATGTTCTTCTGTGTAACTGTTTGTTTTAAATGATAATACACTTGGTCTCCTTTTTTCTTTTTCGACACGTGACCCATCAAAGGAGTTCCTTGGTGATGGTGATGGTGATGATGTCATTGTTAATGAATGACATTGTACTCTTTGAACATTAGAATCTTCCTCATCAGATATATTAAATTCAGCTATATCTTCTTCACCATCTAAATCATATTCATCAAGTCCACCAAGATCATCCAATGAAATTTGGCTAATAATAGATTCTCTTCTTAAACTTTGATCAACTAATGCCCTGTTGGTAACGACATTCGATCCAACAATATTTAATTTATGATCTAATTTTTCATCATCACTTAATGTAACCTTTGAATCTCTTTGAATTTACTGTGGTAGCAGTAGCATTATCAGTATCAGTAGCAATATTAGTATTGGTTATACTTGCAATTGATCCTAATGATTTATGGTGACGATGCCTATTATTATTATGATTACTATTATTAAGACTTTTATCACTTATTACATGTTCTTCTGTGTAACTGTTTGTTTTAAATGATAATACACTTGGTCTCCTTTTTTCTTTTTCGACACGTGACCCATCAAAGGAGTTCCTTGGTGATGGTGATGGTGATGATGTCATTGTTAATGAATGACATTGTACTCTTTGAACATTAGAATCTTCCTCATCAGATATATTAAATTCAGCTATATCTTCTTCACCATCTAAATCATATTCATCAAGTCCACCAAGATCATCCAATGAAATTTGGCTAATAATAGATTCTCTTCTTAAACTTTGATCAACTAATGCCCTGTTGGTAACGACATTCGATCCAACAATATTTAATTTATGATCTAATTTTTCATCATCACTTAATGTAACCTTTGAATCTCTTCTTTTACGGATTGAATACGATGATGATTGTCTTTTATGACTTTTACGACTTTGTTTTTTGATAATCGTTACTGTTGCTACTAGTGCTATTATTATTACTATTACTACGATTATTATTATTATTATTATTATTATTATTACTATTACTATTTCTATTACCATTATTATTATAGGAATTTTTCAAATAAGTTAAACATAATTTGATGCAATCCAAAAACTGTTGTTCTTCCAAATCCGTTTGTTCAATTGTTTTAGTAGCACGATCACCATAGCTATCGTCTTCAACATTATTTATATTATTGTTGTTGTTAATATTAATTCGTGATTTAAAGGTTTCTAAAGTTTTGGCTAAAACAGTTATAGTTTCTTTTGTACCAAATTCAAATCTATTGATTTTGGTTTGAAGATTATAAATATATTCATCTTTTTCTCCAATTTCTTCAAGTAAATGTTCACGTTCTTGTTCATGAACTCCACTTATCGTCTCTAGGTCATTTTCCAATTCAATTACCCTACTCTCCAATTTAGTTACAAGGTCCTGAGCTTGTAACATTAACGGTAGAAAAGTAGCTATATCATTTACATCTTCTTGATAATAATAATTATTATTATTATCATCATCATTATTATTCATTCTGAATGAACTGTAGTCAAGTATTTCACTAGACATTTTGATTTTGATAATTTAAAAAAATTAAATTAATTCAAAAAAGAAAATCCTTAAATTTAATATAAATAAGTAGTTTATCATTTTCAGGTGAAAAGTAATGATCACAATGTAATTTTATTTATTAATTAAGGTTGTATCACATAAAATTTAATTAAATTTTTTCGCGTATATAAGCTAATAAGGTTATGTATTATAATATTAATATGCTTAACATACACGAATAGTTTTTTATCGTTTTGTAAAGTCGATTTTGAGAAGTATTTTAAAGTTGAAACTGGATGAACATTATGTTTAAGATATGTACTAGTACAAAAGTAGTTAAATCAAAACTGTAATCAATAAAACAACTATATTAATATATATATATACTATTATTTTTTTATATCACTTGGTCAGTTTCTTCATTTCACTTCAACATAGCATTACCATTATTATTAGTAAGAACTACTTGCGTTGAATTTAAACATGAACCGAGGCTCAATGCAAGTACTACTATTTAAAAAAAATTTAAAATGAATATTATTTTTTTGGAAATTAATTAAAAAGGGGGGAAATAACACCTTGATCAACATATTGGCTATTGTATTAAAAGTTTGAATTTCTCACCCCAGCTCTCCCTAATTATTTAATGGTTTTATGGAACCACTTCAATTATCTGATCACGTGTAACAAGTGAAAATGTATTCATCTGCAAAAAAAAATTTTTCGATTTTTATTTAAAAAAAAAAATAAAATGAAAACAAGATTTGTTTGTTTAGGATTAAAATATTTTAATAAAAATGTTCTTTTATCATCAAATAATTTATCTATGTTTCCTTTAAGATCGTGTATGCAATAAATTTTTTTTAATTTTCAGATTTTTGAAAAAAAATATTTTATAGTAATGTGGGATTTTTTTTTAATCTGATTAGATGTTACTAAATCAAATAACGTTTCATTAAATAACAATAAAGGAGCTGATATAAAATCAAGAAACATTCCATTTCCATTAGCACCGCAAAAATCAAAATCTAGATATGGGAACAAATTTTCAGATATAAAGATCTTTTTATTTAACATATATTATCATCTTCTTCATAATAATCGATTGTTTTTTTTGGCACAACATAATAATCTTACAATCAAAGAACAAGAATCACTTCGTAATGAATTAGACAAATTAAAGGTAGAAGTAATGGCTGCACGTTCAACAATTTTATCAGCAGTCTTGGAGCAATCTATAATTTATTCAAATATGAGACCATTAACTATAGGACCAACATACATAATAAGTTCGGATGTCAGCGACCATGAAAACCCTAATTTAATTAAAGATCTGCTAAAGATCCTAAGCAAACATAATAAAATTTTATTACTTGGAGGTAAATTGGATAATAATTTATTGAATTTTGAAGAAATAGAAAAAATTTCTAAATTGCCAAATTTAAAATATTTACATGGTGAATTGATTGGATTATTAAATCAATCAGGAACCATATTAGCTAATATATTAGAAAGAAATTCACAATCTTTAATTTTAACTTTAGAAAATCATAAATCAAATATTTCTTCTTGAAAATATTAATTCAAAAATTTTTTTAATTAATTACAAAAATAATTATTATTGTTATTATTATTATTACAACAAATAATAAATCTATTTCTTACCTAATACAAAATAATTTATGTTTTTTTAAAAAATATATAAACATATTATTATTTATTATGCCACAAGAAAGTTTTAAGGGAATTCCACTTATCAGAGTCGAGGTATAAATATTGCATAGATGATTGTAAAGATGGTTGCAACACATCACGATTATGACGAAACAACCACATAACAGTTCCCCATACTAAAGCTGCAAATATAGGAAACGAATTATTTGGTTCATTCATTACTTTGTGAGACACTGGTAGTTTTGCTAATCCAATCATAATTCTAGCAAATACATAAAGTACAATCTTTATAAATAAATAATTTAAAATAAGTAAAATTGAATATATGTATGTATATTTGAATAATAATTATGATATCTAGAAATGTTATCATTACTTGTTGATTGACATTATTATTTTCGCCAAACACCAAGTATCCACCAATTAACCCTGCTATGAATGAATGTCCATTTTGCTCTTTGCCAACAATAAGTTTTTGTAAATACATCATTGTTTTATATGTTGTAACAAAAAATGCTAAATTTTTTGAATGTTGTTTTGTAGCTTTAAAAATAAGAATAAGTTTATCCTTTAAACTGAATATTTATATATAAATATATATGCGTGTGTGTGAAGAGAATATAAATTTTAATAAAATAATTCAACATGAATTTTTTGAAAGATAGTAAATATCTTTTACCTTTCAGAGCGAAATAATAAAGTCATGACAAGAGCATGAGGAAATCTAACTTTTGCTCCATAAACAGCTCCATTACGAAAGCCTTTAACAATAGCAAGAACATCATGATAATCTGGATTATGAATGATTTCTGTAATATTTTCTATCATCTTTTTTATAATTTTAAAAAAATAATGTATTTTTTTTTTTTTTGCATAAATATTTATTATTATATCCTAAGAGCGATTATCACTATTTTTGGCCAACATTTAAAAAAATATATTCGCAGGTTTATTGATAACAAGTAAACAATCTTATTACATTAAATCAGGAAGATCTAAATCCTTCATAAAAAGTCACCATAGTTGCTGTTGCCACCAGCTAGACATATCCTGCTACAATTAAAATGGCAGCAAAGAGGTCAATCTAGGAAAGTCCCCCTTATAAACGGATCAGGTCTCTCCATAAGTGTTTATGCGCGAAAAAATGTTCCTTAAGTTACAAGCAGCATTAACATCTCGATTCCGACATACTGATTTGCAGACTCTGATAGACCAGAATTTTTTATGCTTATCAAACCACCAATCATACAAAGGAAAACTATCAGTAAACTGCTTCAATTCAATATCAATTTTTGCTACTTGCTCTACAGTTGTATTAGGAGGAACCAAGTTTGTCACGACTTTTCATGGGTTCTTTATTAGTATATTCAGAAAATAACATGTTGACAATTAAGCGAATTATTTTGTTGTTGCAAAAAATTGTTTTGGATTTAAAAATGTTTATAACTTTGATGCTATCTTTTTGTTAAACTTACATTTGCAATATGGCTCTATTACGTTGTAGATATTGATATATGTTCTGCGAGCTCAAAACAATTTTCAAAAACAAAAACCTCATATGTTATATATATATATATATGCAAAGGCGATTTTCTTCAAGTAAATTGATTTTTAACAATTGAAATTATAACTTTGAAAGCAAGTTAGCTACAAAAAATATAAATTTTTTATGAACTTACTTGTCTACAACGTAACAACGGTATTTTTTTGTTTATTTTAAAATTTGTATTATTATCTGTATCTAAGGATTTGCAATACAATTTGAAGGAGAGGTGATCGATCATCTAAATCATTTTCATCAAGATTTGCTGTTATAAAATCATATAACACTTATATTTCAATAAAACAATTAAATTTACAAATAAATTCTTTTCTTTAGATTGTAAACGTGAAGGCTTTCTCTCTTCTTTAATTGATACATTATTTTTTTTCTAACTATATAATAAAGATATATATATATATTGTATATATTGATAATGTCAATAGGAACGCGCGAAGAAAATTTAAGCTTACATTACAAGACAAAATTTCGTTTAGATAATAATAGAATAAAAATTTCTTTGAAACGTAAATATATAATTATTGCTATTACAATTACAATTACCATTACTATCGTTACCATTGTTTCCGTTCTCCTTTGACTTCAAAAAAAAATTATTAAATTTTTTCTGTACATTCTGCACATTCTCCACACATTCTCCGCACATTTTGCATATTTTGCACATTCTCCGCACATTTTTTGCACACGTTTTCATTCTAAACCCAAATTAAATTATTTCTATTTTTATCAGTCGTGACTGGCACCCCTTCTTGAGGAATGGGTGGATTCCAGAATACATCAGACACAGGAAGGTTTTAACTGGGTAGTTTTGTAGGTTTAGTGCATTCCATGTGGTTGAAATATTGTAATTGTCACCGTTTCAAATTCCCACTATTATATTTGCAAAGAAATTTACTCTAAGTTTCTGCGTTTGATCACAAAAAAAAAAAATAAAATAAAAAAAATAAAAATAAATACAACACCAGATCAACCAACAGAGCCGATGAATTGGACGCATCTTGCCAAAGTTTTGCCTAATATTAATGCCATTATAAATATAAGGTTTTTATGATACTAAAACAAATAACAAATAAAAAACCGTACAATTATCGAACGAACGAACAATGTATCTTTGTGAATGTTTCAAACTCTCAGATACAATAATCAATCAGTATGCTACGACATTTTAATGGAACTGTGCAACAAGAATTATTTTTAGAATTTCAGTACTAATGTACGTACAACACATGACCATGCATCAGATTGACTAATCTGGAAAGGTGGATTGCAATATTTTTGTAAATACACGCGATTTTTTAATTGAGTAAGTTTGATTCTTGCAAATTTTTTCGCTAACTGCTTTACAATTTTTGACATAAAACTTCTAACACATAAATCTATTCTCATTATGCTTACTACTATTGCCTACGTCCAAGAAAACTCCCTTATGCCAAATACTTCGAGTTTTTTCCTTGTAAAATATGGTCACTTAATCACTACGTTTCTCTAATAATCAATAATTATCAATATGCAGGAAAAGATAAGGCGCATCAAGCATTCTTTAATACTTTACATAACATTAATAACGATTTACGCATGCCGAAAGAAGTCCGTGATATTGCTGAAAAAATAAGAGGGTAAGTATAATTAAGAATAATAAATCTAGATGAATAGGGCTTAGCCAGGTTCTTGTACCTATTGGATTCGCCCTAATAGGATTGGGGTAACTCTTACCCTTGCAAGTACTGAATTGGATGCGTTTATTGGATTCGCCCTAGTAAACATCATGGGATCTATCAATATAAGTTTTTGATGAAGGTCTACTGGTTCTGGAGAAGGAATAGGTTATGTATCTTCCTTTTTAATACAACAAAAACTTAACCATTGGTATATTCCTGCATCCAGCTATTTTAATCTTATTTTTATTTACCTAATTATGCTTACTGAGAAATATTTCTCACTTGACTCTGCTTTTTATATAGGCTGATATTAATAAAGTAAATAATAGCTTATGGAATAAGATTAACAAAAATAAAAAGAAATCACCACCACCACCGTTGTCGTTGTCATCTGTAATGAGAAAAAAACGAAGCGCTGTGGATACAATGGATTCTTTACCGAAAAAAAAGGCATTTTATAATTCCAGAAATTTGATTGTTTTCTTCCCGATGAAGACGTAGATTATCATTATTTGCCTCGAGGTATATACATACCTCTCTGTGATAATACTGCCTTCATATCTATTTATGATAGTTATATGCTTCTCACTTATGATGTGCATAGACTTATCCCTGTTTTGAAATTGTAAATATTGCATCAGGAAATTAATTTAGCGTAAACTTGCATAAATATTATGATGCCGACGTAATATTGTGTAAATCTTACAGTGCCGACGTAAGTTTTACACTTTTTTATTATTAAACTTACAATTGGCACGTGTAAAATTTTTTTATATTTTCCGGATGTGTGTAGGATTCATAGTGAACCTACCTTGAATTTTACGTTTGTTATTTCTAGATTTGCGAGACATATTACAGTAATCGATCAGATAATTAATATGTCACATGACATAAATGGGCTGATATGGAGCATCGTACCTACAGGACGTATTTAGAAGCAATTTTGAATGACCTGAAACTATTAGAACCTCGTGATGGTGAAACAGCTCGGGAGTTAGCAGAAGAAGCTTTAAAGAAATTTAAGATTTGAAACTTTTGTTTATTTTAATCATGAAGAGCCCAGAAGGTACTAGGATACGTCTGACAGCCGATGGATATGTCTATCAGGTACCTTTAGGATATGCCTGAATGGGCATAACTTCTTTGCAACGTGATTTGTTATTAATTTACCCAGAAGGTGCTAGGATATGTCTGACAGCCGATGGATACGTCTATCGGGCACCTTTAGGATACGTCTGAATGGGTTTTTGTTCTTTTCTATTTTATCCATTAGAAAGAGGCAAATTCAGTTAAAATCGACATCTTCTGGAGGAATTGTCCATTTTTTTTAGAAACATTGAATACGGTGGTGAACCTCAATACTAACAAGATGATTGGTCGAGTTTCAGAATTATATGAGGACGTCAACAATACAATTTTCAGTATCACGCAAGATAAATTACGTTTTGGTAATGCATTTAATTTTCATATATATGTATTCTTCTCTGAATAATGATGAATATTGGCAATATTACTAGAACGTAAGCGAGTCCGTTCTCATGAAGAAGAGTCAGTTGAATCACAAAAAAAGAAAGCGTCATCAAGAAAAAGGATTGATATATAGCTTAAATTTTTGTCCGCAAAAAAAAACATTTTACAGAAGTAATTGAGTTTAATTTCTTTAGGGGGATACTTTACCGGATGGAACTAAGATTAAGAAATTGGCTCCTCTTGACCTGTTTCCAGATGATGAAGATTCCTCCGAAGAGCAAGGTAGTGAGGATAACGAACAAGATGACGACGAAGATGTCCCAGCTCCTGAAGAAACCCTCGATTCTATACTTAGTAGTCAAAAAAAAAAGGATTCTACCCTCTGGTAAAAATGTTGGTGATATTACTGCCAGAAACATATCCACAAATGCAAAAGCAATTCAAAAGAAGAAAAAAACATCAGCAATAGAAAGAGCCATATTACATTACAGATCATCACGAATAATTGATTTATCAACAAATATGAAGGATTGGTTCTCTGTTGATGACAGGAAATTCATGATTAGAGATGGGCAGATCAGTACTATACGTATATATACATAATTTTTATTGCATACAAATACAAATAGAAAAAAAAATTTGATCTACGTAATTTTTATTGCGAAAAAAAAAAATACAAAGAATAATAAAAATTATTCAGTGCCACAACTCTCATCACCATCGTCGTTTACCACTGTTTCATTCTCATTATTATCGTCATCATTTTCAATGTTGTATGATTTTTCTACTGCATCCGTATAACCTTTATTGTTGCTAACAACTTCGTTCATTGTATGTGTCAGTTTCGTTGCCCTTGATGTTGATTCTTCCTGTGGGTCATGGCCTGCACTCCTTTTTTTACCCGACTCCCTGATGTGATTTGTGGTCTTTCTCTTGCTGTTGAAACTCATGAATTGTTCCTCAAAATCCAGATGTTTGGATTTTAATGCTTTGCGTGGGAATTTCTTATCATCGTTGTTGTTGGTTTTTTTAACCCTCGGGTAAGTCCACTCGATTTTGCTTTATCAATTATTCAATAGTTCTATAGGAGTAATCGAAGTAAGTGTTAAGGACAGGATCTATGAAAAAAACATACTAACGAATGTTTTATCAATTATTCAATAGTTGTATAAGAGTGATCAAAGTAAGCATTAAGGACAAGTTCTATGAACAAAACATACCAACAAATGTTTTATCAACTATTCAATAGTTGTATAAGAGTGATTGAAGTAAGCATCAAGGACATGTTCTATGAACAAAACATACTAACGAATGTTTTATCAATTATTCAATAGTTGTATAGGAGTGATCAAAGTAAGCATTAAGGACAAGATCTATGAACAAAATATACTAACAAACGTTTATCAATTATTCAATAGTTCTATAGGAGTGATCGAATTATGTGTTAAAGGACAAGATATATGAAGATTGCAAAGCAAGTTTTACAAAAATGGACGTTTTATTGATTATTCAATAGTTTGTGTAGGAATGATTGAAGTAAGTGTTAAGGACAAGATCTATGAAGATTGCAAAGCAAGTTTTACAAAAATGAACATTTTATTAATTATTTAATAGTTTGTATAAGCTTTAAGGACAAAATATATGAACAAAATATACTAACAAACATTTTATCAATTAAGGATAAGATTTATGAAGCTTACAAAGCAAATGAACGTTTTATCAATCATTCATTTATTGATGTATATAAATTTCTCTTTTATATTTAATAACATCACTATGATAAATAATTAAATGAATAAAGTCAGAGATAAAACACCTTTTAATTTAATCATTATTGTTGTTTGTTTATTATTCTAATCATTATTTATGTATATACTGTAGGTAAAGAAAAAATTTAATTTACTTTCAAAATAAATGGTTTTACTATAAAAGACATACCTAAGTGATCAAAAATCTGCAAATAATGTAATATTTGGACATTTATTTCTACCTATACTTGCAATTGGACGCGTCAAACAAAAATTTGCATATATGAATATAAAGGCAAAATTTGACTTTGAGAGTCAGATTATTTTCGGTTTTATTAACAACCTGCTTTAAAAATTTTCTTAAAGCAGATACATATGATAAAGAAGTTATATCTCAAATTTGGCAATGGCTGCTACAACAGAAAGGGTTTTAAATGGGGATTAGAAGTCATTTGATTGTAAAATTTTATATTACTATGTAAATTCGAATTTTACTATGTTTTACAACTAACTAATAATAAATAATGAATGATCACTCTTCTGATGTTATTGATACCACAATCAATTAGAATATCTCCGATGTGGACACATTCTAAATATAAAAATATAAATAAGAAATCACTAATTATCTGGCTTGTATGAAACTCATCTACCTCTATTATTCTACAATGACGTTTTAGCTCTTTATGAACCTCCTTCACAGGATCAAGAGCAATTTCTCGGGATGTTGATGAAAAAGTATACATCAAAACGGGATGGCGGTGTCATGGATTTACATAGAAGCCAAGCAGGTAAGGGAGGTAATTGAGCTCACCAAAAGATGACCTTGGTATGTATATATATGGGGCGTACTCCAACAACAGCACCATCTTTGAGTCCATAAATAATCAAGCTACAAGTTAAGGGTAGAGTGTAGATAACACGAATTTTACTATGAACAGTAGATAATTTTTTGACTGCCAATCATCAAAAATATTAGTGTAGTCATGATTATTTATATACATGACAGTAATACATAGAAAAAATCATTTTGATTTTATTTGTAAAAAGAACAAGCTTATAACTGAGAACGCAATGTGAGCTTTTCGTGTCGCAAAACACACATACCGTGCTACGCGAGAATAAAAATTCAATTAAGCTGGGTTTTGCGTCTTCTGCAAAAAAATAACATCAATCGGGCCAAGACAATAGTCTATTTTATTAAATTCGAAACATATAAATAGGACAGCCGTCCAAAAATTTTTTTTTTGTTATTTTTTCGTAGAGAAATTCCTCTAGGCCATTTCAGCGCACGGAACTCAACCTTCTACATTCGGCCACATGAAATAATTGTTCGTTATTATACAATATGTAACATAAAATTTTAACCACGCAATTGTTGATTGATTGACCAATTAAAATCATGAATTTAAAAATAAAACATTTAATGTGGGTTTGATTCATTTTGTCAACAATCACTTCACGAACAATTGTTTCATTAACATTAACAAATAGTTCGAATTTAAGAAATTGGAAGCAACTATTTAAAATAGTCTAATAAATTAAACCGTACTACTTGAAAATGTATTTAAAGGGTTGATTTTCGACTTGGTTGAAGAATAACTATCTTTCCAACTCTTCTCTTGACCATATCTCTCGATATAATCAAAATAACCTTAATATAACGAATGTCAAAATGATTGTAAACGTGACCAATTTAAGATATATGATCAAGAGGAAACATGAACAATGAATGAAAAAATCAAACAAATTTATTTAATAAAACAAAATTTACAACTCGAAAAAATTTTTTTTTTTGCATGTAATAAAATTCCATTATTAACTACGGTGCAGATCATCTATAATCATTAATTGCTTATAGTAACAATTGGTCAACTTCAAAATACTAAAACAAAAAAA